TTATTGCAGTCCACGAATATGATTACTCAGAAGTAGAGCATTTGGTTGTTGCAAAAAGCAGTCTATTTTTCTGACCTTTCGGATTCTGGCTTGAAGCCATCGTCAGACCTAGGTGTGGAAACCTTAAATCAGGTTTCAGGGTTTTCCAACAGCATTCTCTACGCCATTTAAAACACATCGAAGGACTACTGGACCAGCCGCAGAGGCAAAACTGTTTGAAGCACTCACCACTTCTCCAGAGACGCCATCAGCTTACGAAAGGCGAAAATTGTGACAATGAACATGCAGAGCTCCGTGATTTGAGGAAGAAGAAAGAGAGTGAAGCTGTAGTACTTTGGATCCTTTTTCAGCTCAGCCAAGTTCGAAACGATAGCCGCAGTGCCCCCTATCAGGATTGATCGTGCTAGGATCCCTTGTAGCAGGCGTGGCAAAAAGATCGGCAATGTGCGCTTCACACTCTGCCCCTCAGAAGGGTTCCCCATTCGGGGTGGGTCCGGGCCCGGATCACGCGCTTTTATGCTAACATTTTCTGTGGAGGGTTCTGCGGAGGGTTGTGCGGAAGGTTCCTCCGTGATGTTTGAGTTACTATGAAAATAGGTGGCTTGGAGTCTGCCGATGTGTCTGCCTGTCATCCTTGATGAAATTGGTGTGCAATTGAAACCGCAGGCTTATGAGGGCGTCGGCACTTTTTCCAGAAGTTCTGAGGGAGACACATGAAACAATCTGAGTACACATGTGGTACAACAAAATTCACTGCTTAAGAAATATGGTTGAAAATGCCGGAAAACTCTCTGCGGTCAAAGTGGCATTCAACTTTCATCGAATTATTTTAAACGACATCACGCAGTTCAACACTGGCTAGTTTGATCAGTATAATCACCTGAATAAGGGAAAAATAAATCTACCCTGATGTTTTTATGGACCGGTGAATATGGGTGACGTAAACGCGTGTATAGTCCACACAAACAGCCACCTTTTGGCCGTTTTGGCCGTTTTGGGCTTGGTTATCGATGTGAGCATGATGATAGATTGCTGAACTTTGCTAATCATAATTGCCTGTTCGTCACTAAACTGCATTTCTTGAACCGCAACAAATGTATGCTAACCTGGTACTCAAACGATTATCAAGGTCGAGTTCACGTGTGAGCATTTCGAGCATTTGGTCTACTAAAGCAACGTTCACTTCATTGCACTGCTATAATCCATTCATCAAGAGGCAAAGCAAGACACATACTGGCATAAGAATATATGCATGCATACATAATGCTCGGCCAAGTAGAACTTCTGTTTCCGCGGTCTAAAAACTCAGCGGTCACACTCCCTCTAATTTGCAGCACCTATCCCAGCATTATTCGCGTCATCTCCTCCCCTACCCCTGTTCGATGTAACTTTTGCTCCCAAACCCCTTGTTAGATAATCCCAGCCCCACATTCTCAGTTCGCGTAAAGCCGTCCCGGTGTTATCTGCTCTAGAAGTCACAAGTAAAATATAATTTTTCCGACGAGCCTACTTTCTGCATGCATAATGCCGTTTTGGAATATTTCTTCCACAATTTGCCTTATTAGGACAATGTAAAATCTCCATGCGCGTACATACGCAAGAAGCTAGGGATACTGTCGCACGGACGTTTCACGGCTAAAAAGGTAGAAGCGACTGAGAACACCTTTCCAATTGTTGAGCTACGGCACGATGTAGGGTCTCCTCACGCAAATGCTGTTTTCTGCATTTTAGTCCTCGTAAAATCTCTGTCTCCCACGAGGGAAGTAATCTCGGGTACTCCAGAGCTTACAACTCATTCCAAGCGCTAGAGGCATTCACCGCCTTCTAAATCCCCTGTTTTTGTCTCCGCTTAGCCGGACACATTTCGAGTGATAATTTTGCGATATGAAAATGTGAGCACTGTGGATAAGGTAGAAAAACCATTCCTGCCAGTCCGAACATGTATAATACAAAAACTCTCTAAAGTCTTCTTGTCAAGCGAGTGCATTATTAACTAAGATAGGTACTAGGACAACTATTCCTTTCATCATCCCCGGAGGAGGAAGAAGAAGACACGATTTCTGGGACCGATGTGTATTTTTGCTGACGTTTCAAAAGCGTGCTCTCCTTCTTCTTCCGGGGACGATGAAAGGAATATTTTATCTGGACCTCGAATTTTTTCGCATACTAAGAAAACTGACTGGTGATAGTAAACTTGAAAAATAATTTACCTTGGCCACTTCTTACGGCTGGTTCTAACTAGACTGGACTCTGTTGACGCGAAAAGTTTGAAAAGAAAAAATCGATCAATGAGTTGAGGTGAGGCGAGGCGAGGCGCGAGTGCGTGTCTGTGTGTGACAGGTTGTGTCCCTTAAACTCATTACGTGGTCGACGCGTTATAACTTACAAGGGGCTTAGATGAGGGTATGCCAAACTTAATTGCGGGATGCGTACGCATAAAAATTGCCACACACGGAGGAGGAGGAAGGAGGGTACGACTAGATGTAGACCTACGTTGCTTCAGCGACCGATGCATTTTCCTGCCAACTTTTGGTGGAATAGGTCATACCATAGGACCCAAATGGGAGAGTAAATAAGTATCATGGAATTTGGTTGAGGCTGCCGACACGCTATTCAACTATCGCCTTTCTAAAGCAGCTCTGCAAGTGTTGCTCCTTCCTGCCCATTGGACTACCATTGGGTGAGGTTAGGTAAAAATACTGTAGGTCGAAGGCTGCATGCATAATGCCGAAGGTTGTAAAACACTTATCGTAACTCGTATACCGGAAGTAACACATTAACAAAAATTTGGAAATTATAATAAAAAACCTTGCGCAAATTTGTAAATTAAAATAAATGTAATTCTGTGAGATTCACCACTCCTGTACGTGTCATCGTTAACATTCTTATGCAACGACAAAAAGCAGCTGATGAGCTGTCTCGAAATTTGTTGATATCAATGAATTCTACTGTTTTTGCCTGTTTTAAATTTGTACCGGGGAAAAACACCAACAATTTTATAAATAATCCCTAAATTCCGAAAGT